TTTCCCTAACGCCCTCGGTCGGAGAACCCCGCCCGCTTGACGTGGTTCTCTCTTCCTCTTCTTCGCTGGAGCTCCCCGATCCGCTGGAGCTAGAGCTTGACGTCCCGGAGGAGCTTGATGCGCTGTTATGCTCGACGGCTCGATCAGGGGCTGGCATTGCTCGGGGGCTGGCTTCGGGAGTGTAGGACATAATGTCCACTTCCTCGTCGCTGATACGCTCGACCTCCTCATCGTAATCCGCGATCGAGGCGTTTTGACTATCCGAGTCCGACATAATTCTACCTAAAGGTCGGTCGGGAGTTAGTACAGGGTTCGGGGAGTTAGCTCGAAGTTAGTGCTATCCTACTTCTACGCTAAGTAAAGAGTAAAGAAAGAGTAAAGAGCTAAGAGCTTACCGAGTGAGGAAACTGAAGAAGATCTGAAGTTTTGCTTTGCTTGATCGCCTTGCTGAGATGCTCTGCTCGGGATTCTTAGAGGATACCGACTGAAGCAAAAGAGTGAGGAAAGTTCAAATGAGGGCCTCAAGGGCCTATTTATAGGAGGGCATTTAGGCGGGAAATGGGCCAACTTGCCTGACACGACCCGCGCTGAATCCGAGGCGACGGATGGGATCGCCGAGGCCGGCAGAGGCCGACACGTGGCGTAGGAGGGAATGACAGCTGGCCGGTCGGTCTAGTGCCTGACGGTTGGGCTTATTCATCCCGTCCCGTTTTTTCCCGACTGATCAAAAAGGCCCGGGCTGGGGGGCTCTTGGTAGGGAATATCCCGACCGACATAAGCTCCACCACGACCGACCTGCCTTTGTCTTTCTCTTGTGATCTTTGCAGGTAGCAGGTCGGGCTTTTTCCATGAAGACCCCGGTCGGGAATGGACGGGAGTTGCCCGAGCGCTGATGTCAACCACCGAGCGGTAGCCCTTCGGCGAAAGAGCTGGCACAAGGACGCGAAAGGACGCGTGGCGGCTCTTCATGGCGACAGGCAGGGCACCCGGGAAGGTGACACGTGGTGGCTACGTGGAAGACATGCCGAGCGGCTGGAATCTTGTCCCCGGCATAGCGACTATAAATACCCACAGTAGCTACAGTGTAAAGGACTTTTGGACGATCGATAGGTTGTTGTTAGAGAATCCCGACCGCACTCAGTCGGTGCTCAGAGCAACCAAGTAGATTGTACTTAGGGCCTTTGCCGTGATCAATAAAGATTTTACTTGCTTTAATTGGTCTCGTGTGATTTTATATTGCTTACGTAGAATTAGCAGTATCAGTAGTAATTTTCATAATTATCAGAATCGTAATTTATGGGATAAACAGGAGTTGAATGTCGGTAGGATTCTCCTATTTCATAATTTATGTGTGCATGTTGTTGATGAAATTCCGCTTCAAAATTTTTAATGTGTTTTGATTGGGAAACTAATTCGATTATTTATTGTAATTTTTCAACAAATTACTACAGAAAGGGAAAAGAATACCCAAATAAGGTTCATAGATGTTGTTAGGATTGTAAACGGAGAAATCGGTAGTAGGCATGGTTGCAGTAGGCGCTAGGCGCTAGTCGGGCGCCCGGACAACGCCTAGCGCCTAGGCAGAATCTGGGCGGCGCTAGGCGGGCGCCAAAAAATCAGCGGTAGACTTGAAATTTGACAATTTTAATTAGGTTGTTTTCAACATTTAATCAAATAACACATCCAAATAAATGAATTAATGATAATTCATAAGTCATAACATCAAAACAATGGTTTAAAAAAAAAAAAAACATTAAAACAGTATTAAAAATTAAAAATACTCAAATATGAAATACACAAATACTTCAATCATCCAAAGATTCAAAGTATCAAACTAGTCTATGAGTGTATATATGTCATATTATATATATGTATGCGTGCGCGCATGCATACACACACACACACACACACACACACACATATATATATATATATATATATATATATATATATATATATATATATATATATATATATATATATATATATATATATATAATAAAAAAATAGGTCGAGCAGATCGGGTTAACTCGACCGAAATGGACGAGTTAATCGACTAACTTAGACGCTAGGCGGCCAAATCGGCCGAGTTAGGCGCTAGGCGGACGCCTAGGCGGGGTCTAGACGGGCGCCTAGTAGGTTAGGGGTGAAAAGGTGAGAGTTTTAGATAAAATATGATTAAATAGTAAGCATAAAAACTAACATGAACGGATAAGATTAAGAAAGATCATATCAGTCAGTAGTAAAGAGAAAAAGAAGGAGCAAAGCTTTAAAAACTGTTAGAAAAAACTAAAATTTTGAAATATAAATTCTCAAAACAATGCCTGCGGAAAAGACAATTTGTAAAAAAAAATTGAAAACATGGACAAAAAAATTATTCAAGACTATTTTGGAAACAATGAAAATTTTCAAATTGAAAGGAATTTTGGAAACATATTTACTACATATAATTTAGATGAAAAATCTAAAGATAAAGAATTTCTTGAATACACAATAAATATTCCAAATTTTAACGAAAAAATTTATTATCTAATCAAAAAATTTCTCTACCCAGACTTGGTAAAACAAATTATCAAATATTTAAAAATTTTCACATTCCAAGAAAAATTTGTATTAGACAAATTAAAAGAACAATTGGAAATAGATTTTGAAGAAGAAAAATTAGAAAATTTGGTTGAAGAAATAATCGAATTAGTTTCCCAATCAAAACACATTAAAAATTTTGAAGCGGAATTTCATCAACAGCATGCACACATAAATTATGAAATAGGAGAATTCTATAGACATTCAACTCCTGTTTATCCCATAAATTATGATTCTGATAATTATGAAAATTACTACAGTGGAGCTGAAACAGAGTAATTTTAGCAATTTTGAAATGTTTTCAACTATCATTTTTAATCCTTACACCTTAAATTTAATTTTCAACTCCTACACACATCCAAATTCTTCATCAAAATTTATTTTCGAACAAATAAATTCACACAACATTTCTACTTTGTATTATTTCCTAACTAATCCAAAAAATATTAATGACATGTACTACATATCATTAGTTAGTCATTTCAACTCCTACACATACCCAAACTCTTCAAAAATTATCTCCGAACTTATAAAATCTTCACACTATTCTACTTTGACTTATTGCCTAACTAATCCAAAATTTATTAATGACATGTACTACATGTCATTGAATAGTCAATTCTCAAACTATTACATCATTTCTTTTTCACAAATCACTATCCTAATTTTCACATCTTTTATTTTTTCACTAGTACATTCAAAAAATATTAATCCCATGTACTACATATCATTAGTTAGTCATTTCAACTCTTACACATACCCAAACTCTTCAAAAATTATCTCCGAACTTATAAAATCTTCACACTATTCTACTTTGACTTATTGCCTAATTAATCCAAAATTTATTAATGACATGTACTACATGTCATTGGATAGTCACTTCTCAAACTATTACATCATTTCTTTTTCACAAATTACTATCCTAATTTTCACATCTTTTATTTTTTCACTAGTACATTCAAAAAATATTAATGCCATGTACTACATGTCATTAGTTAGTCATTTCAACTCCTATACATACCCAAACTCTTCAAAAATTATCTCCGAACTTATAAAATCTTCATACTATTCTACTTTGACTTATTGCCTAACTAATCCAAAATTTATTAATGACATGTACTACATGTCATTGGATAGTCACTTCTCAAACTATTACATCATTTCTTTTTCACAAATTACTATCCTAATTTTCACATCTTTTACTTTTTCACAAACTAAACCTCTGCGGAGACATATCCCCCCATATTTATTTAGTATCAAAGACCATTCTAGATTGACCTCTTTTCTTTTCTGCTTCTTTTTGAACAATAAAAGCAGGAGTTCTATATATATATATATATATATAATTGTAGAATTCATATTAATATTAATGAAGTAAGAATTATAGAAATGATATATTACTAAATATAACTATGATAACATTTAATTAAGATCTAAATAAAATCAAATTTACCAATTGAAGAATGTAAGAAAAAGATAAAATCTTAGTTATATAAATGTGTGTGTGTGTGTGTGTGTGTGTGTGTGTGTGTGTGTGTGTGTATATATATATATATATATATATATATATATATATATATATATATATATATATATATATATATATATATATATATATATATATATATATAGAATTCATATTAATATTAATGAAGTAAGAATTATAGAAATGATATATTACCAGGACTATGTGGTCTAATGGTATCCGGGTTGGACTTCCATTTGGAAGATTATGAGTTCAAGCCTCAGTGGAGGCGTTATTGGTTCTTTGTGTTTCAGTAGGTTGAGAAAGTATATGAACAGATACTACAATGTAATAGAGCCAGTAACTTTCAAAAAATAGAAATGCTATATTACTAAATATAACTATGGTAACATTTAATTAAGATCTAAATAAAATCAAACTTACCAATTGAAGAATGTAAGAAAAAGATATTGTGTATGCAAGTGTATGATAATAATAATGTGAAAGATCTAAATAAAATCAAACTTACCAATTGAAGAATGTAAGAAAAAGATATTGTGTATGCAAGTGTATGATAATAATAATGTGAAAGATAACAGAAGTTATAACGGCAGGGATATTTTTGTCCAAATAATTATGTAGTATAACATTTATAGTATAAGGTACAAAAAAAGTTAACAGAAAAAACGGACATAAAACCAGGGACATAACCTGGATTGAAACTTATTATGTTTTTAGATATATATAGCCGAGCGCCACACACCGCTCAATCAAAGCTCAGCTCGAGTCAGCTCGTTTCATAACCGAGCCAAGCTCGAGCTTCTATTTTCGAGCTCGATCGAGCTAGAGCTCAAGCTTGAGCTCGAGCCAACCCAAGCTCGATTTGTTTACTTCTACTTAATAAATTACATTACTACACTAGATACAAAAAGCACAAATACCGATCGACACCTTAGAAAAATTCACATAAGAATAATTATGGGGAGCGACCACAACCAAATTAGTCAAGTAGTTGACTTGATAACAAAGAGGTTCCAAATTCGGCTGTTTTGCAGCTGCAAGCTTTATCGTAAATCAAATAAGATAATTATCATTAAATTAATTATTGAATGTGTGCATTTATGTGGTTACATGGATGATTGCTCTATTCCACTTGTAACATGGGGTACCCATAGAGATCTGGGGGTTTCTAAAATCTGTTGTAGTCTTCTGTTTGTCTGTTCACCAGAACAGGTAAGCATTTGATGGCGTGAGATGAAAAATAAAGAATTCCAGAAACAGGGAAAACGGAAATTGACACATTGCTGTTGAAACTCCAGACAAGATAGAAACCAATCTCCAAATACTTCACCTAAAACATTGCAGAAAGATACTGGGCAGCATGTTGTGGCGTCGTTAATCACAACAGGACAAGAAGAGAGTCGCCTTCAAATTGTTCGAAGATTCCCACCATGGAAGATGAGTGTGGAATCGCGGGGGCGATGATTTCATGGTTGACTGACTCCATTCTCACCAAGCATGCTGCTTAGTAGTGAGCAGAGCATCAACCATATCACAGTACACTAACAGTGCTATTGCATCAATCCATGTGTATGGCGGGGCAGACCTAAACCTAAACCTAAACCTAAACACCACGTATGAAGATAGGTTAAGGTTAGCTAACAAAATAGCGACGTAGGTTCATATCTCTTTATGAATGATAGGTCACAAGTGTCCCATCACTGTATGTAGTAGGGCGCCCCACATCACATGATTGTTACCACTGGATGTTAAATGGGAATGCATTACTCATACTGCCCCTGAATTCTCTCCCCGCACATCCTACCCCTTTGATCATCCGGCCTCTCATGTGGCAGACAACTTAGGTGGTTAGAAATAGTGGCTGACTGGGCTGAGGAAGTGAGGAGTGACTGTCTGATCAAAGTATCAAGCTCCAAATGAGGATCGGAGATTGTGGCTGCAGATGATCCTTGTTTTTACTCGTGCAACTTACTTGGCATAGAACTATTAAGTTAATTCGGAATAAGTACATGAATTATATGTCACTTATAGGATGGACGGTTGTCCAAGTGCATCATTGCACCCTACATGTCTTCCTTGCCTAGGATCGGAACTCTAAAGAAATGACTACCGCATCAAACACGGGCAAATAATGAATCCTAGGATTAGAAAAGCTCTGGCCAGTCTCAGATCCCCTACTTTGATGAATAAAGATAACATCACATTTTTCTAGATGTGGAAAAGGTTATTCCTAGCTTTATGCAGTTTTATCTTCCATAATTCTCGATCTGCTAGTGGACTATTTGCACTGAGGACACTTTACTGCTTTCTTTTAGCTGTTCTGGGGACATAAAGTAATCCCACCCACTAACCCACTAGCAATACAGAAAATGAGACCCAGCTGAAGATATTTCACAAAGCCAGTAACTAAAGTGAGGGACGCAACTTAAACGATAAATCCATGCAATCCAACATCAAGCATTCACACTGATCTCAAAGACTTAATGAGAAGTGATAATTACCTTCACTTTGGTAGATGCTCATCAGGTTGTCCCTTTCACTGGATAAACATTCTTGATAACCATGGCACTACAAAATTGACCAGGTCACAACCTACATGGTTCTCACTTTTTGCCTGCATTTGATTGAGAATCAACAAATTATTCCAAGTATAAACATTATTAACAACTCTTACTGTTCTGCCAATAGCTAAAAGCAATTCATTATGAAAACATCCATGCATCATATATCAAGACTAAACTTTAGATACTATAGCAAAATTATTATAAGTGCGCACTTCCAATAAAAATTTGGGGAAATGATACAAAAGGAATCGTAGCCATCTGCATAAAGCATAAACTAGTAGGAGCATGGGACTGCTCTTCCAAGTACATGATTTTCAACCAATTATTTCCATTGGGAAGGGTACCCTCTAATAAGAGCCCGGATAATAAGGGATTAGGCATCCCTGCCTAACCTTTTTATGTATGTACCCAAAAAAAAAAAGTTTATTACATGTGTTTGGATCTGATGATACATATAGGACAGGCAAATGATAAATCTATACTGTGGCTTTAAGACTTAACTCACTTAAGTAGAGCTGAGTAGATTTAGCAAGCTGTACAATTTAATTTAAATAGGCTCTCCGTGCATCAAGAATTCCAGCAACAACTTGTAATAAGTTTATTAAACTCATAACAATACTCATTCTTTCCAATATTTGGGAAACAAAAGCATGCATCCTACAAAATCAATTCTTGAGATCAGAGCGAATATTGCAAAATGTACATTAAGTGGCATTGTATTCTAACTCAGACTTAGAAGTATTTCAGGAATTAGGAAAGCCAATACAACAATAATCATTAATGGCATTCGGATGCAATTCCTCCAGAATGCATCATACGAATAGAAGGATCAAGTTGCTGGTACCCCTAGGCCACCACTAAAAGAGAGAGAATCTAGACAAGTTGATCTGTTGCCCAATTGCAAAATTGAGAAGACAATACAAGTATCTTAACCTAAGATGTAGTAACCAGTGATGATTTTCCCAACAGAAGAAGATTCCTTCCTAGGTGATCATTTTCATTATATCAAATGCGACTCACATGTCTCAGACAAACTAAAGCAGTGCATTACACATTGGTAACCATTCACACTCAACAAGTCAACAAGAGTTCACTCCAGGAATTTTACAAATGAGTTCCATATTTTAACTATAAGATCATGGTGCAATGTTAAGTTATTTTTCCTACAGCGATAGTCATGCAACTCATCACCCAAGTAAATGTATATAACTGTTGTCATCATATGTCACAAAACATTTATAAAAAAATAAATAAATAAAAGAGTTCTAACATAATAACAGAGCCATATAGGAGCAAATTCCTCTATCTTGTAATAGGATGGACAAGTACCATGGATTCAAAAAATGGAAGAAATAGATACAGTAAAACAAACAAAATATCAAGCAATGCTTCTGTAAATCCCATAATTATGATAAGAAATAATTCAAGAAATTATATCCAGAATTGGACCAAAGGTTATTCAATCTGACTATTATTAATGTAGTACGCATGCAAAAGAAAGGAGCACCATTCAAGATGACAAAGGTGCTAATTTGCATGACTAAAGTAGTTTTTTTTTTTTTTTTTTTTTTTTGGGTCTCTTGATATCACATGACATTTCTCTCCAATTTTGAGCTCAATCACATAACCATGATAAGGAAAATACAGCCTCAGATGTGACTTTGCTTCTACGGTTTTCTCATACAGAGTAATGCAGCAAGCTAAACCACTTATATCCTGACAATAATTCCCAAGAAGCGCAACAAGGTGATAGAGATGAGAATTAATAATTATACAACTTGAAGTGGATCAATTAGGCATCAATATCAATCTAAGGAATCGAACTCTTTGATTGACATAAATGCCGCACTAACATGGAAATGTGTTATTGGCAACATTCCAAAAAAGACTACTAAGTCATCATTAATTTTTGGAATGAAATGTTTCATACAAATCCATCATAGAAACGTTGTAAACTAAATTGAAAAGATCTACTCATAGGCACTCCGCACTACTGACCAAATTCCCACCTTGCAACATATACTACATCAATACATGCCTAATTGACCAAAATGACATACAATGCTCCATTCTCAAGAAGCCGAGGGCATGCACTGAATTCTAAAGGTAAAGAAGTAATACAGCTTTCAATGACATGGACTGAAGTATTTCCAAATTGAAGCTTGTCAAATATCATGATGTCCGAGAGAACAAGGAAAGGAGGGGAATGACATCTACTATAGCTCCCTATGTCTATATGTTTAAATGAATCACTATCACCACATTTAGATCAATCTAAACTGCAATTCACTGGAACAGGCTGTATGTGATAAAGGCATAAAGCTATGTCACTAAGTTGAAATACTACAGCATTATTTCATGGAGCAGTCATTTCATAAAGCATAAGCAAATTATTATTCTCTTGCATTCAAAAGCATATTAAATCCATTGATGAAAAATTCCAAGTTTCAACCCACCAAGCCAGTTGATAGGGGGCAAATAAAGCAGGAGGAAAACTATGGTAACCTGAAAGAAATACAAACTGGAAATCTGCCTCACAAAAGAAAGATATGCAGGCATAAAAAAGTTTTCCTTCTATTATAATATTAAGAATAAGAATGTTTTCATTTGCAAGCACAAGCTTTGACAGTGTAAGGACAAGTGAATTAATGAAATTACATGCCTAAGGAAGAATGAACTCCTACAAATAACTTGAATAAAATGTCCACTTTCTCTTTCAAAAATGGAGTGATGTTTGACGTAGGCATGACTACTAAAAGGATATTTGAAACTAGGGATTAGTGTTAAGAGAAATGCAAGGTTAGGCTTTACAAATTGATTCCATGCTTAAGAACTAAAAAGTGAGTTTAAGAAGTATAAAATTCAGGCATCATCCAACCTTTTGAGCAATGTTATATTAGAAAGAAATCGTTGAATCTTTCGTTTGAAAGGAGTGGATACCATTTGATTTTGAAAGTGAAAACTAGAAATCATGTCATTCCACTTGAATAGAGGGAGTACTCTTTAATATTTGAGAATTAGTTCAACATATTCAGGTTAGCCTGGTTCATAAATATGTACTGATCACTTGAGTATGACTCTAAGGGTGTATTTAGTTAAAGTTATATAAAATAAATAAGGTAATGTCTGAATGATTATCTTATATAACCTCATTTAGTTCAAGTTATGAGATAACTCAGGTAGTCAGGTGATGTGACATTACTGCCACATCAAATTTTGGGTTATCTTCAAGGTAATGTGACTACCTTCCTCACCTTAGGTAAATACATAAACTGAAGGCATTTAAGTAAATTATACAATATAACCTGAAATATAACCCCCAACTAATCAAGTTAATATTACATTTCCACTATCCCAACTAAACACACAAGGTAATCTTACATTCTTGTAATCTCACATTACTTCTCAAGAGGTAATCCTATTATCTAGGGCAATCTCCTAAGGATCCACACAACAGTCAGTAATTGATTGTTCAAATTGTTCTTTGTGTCTTTTAAAACTGGCTCAGTTCAGAATTACGAACCAAATATAGCATATAATAAAAAATGATGAAAAGCAAAGCAGAGCCACAGGAAAAATAATAAATAAATAAAGCATTTTATGAGTTGATTCCAACATAAAAAGGAGTTCACCCTGAACCTCATCCTCCAATGAAAAATTCAACAACAGGAAGAAGATGTAAACCAAAAGGAATGGTGAATTGATTACACATTGTATTCCACTTCTCTTATTCATGTCTTTCTTTTGCTTCTGTTCAGTTTTTTTTTTTTTTTTTTTTTTTTTTTTAACTGTAGTCAATTTCAACACTCACTGCTAACTAAAATCCATGGCAATAGAGTGAGAGGTCAAGAAGCAGAAAACGCCATATAAATCTGGAAATATTGGCATAGTTTTATTACAGTAGTACATAAGCTAAAACAAGGAGAGTGAATTAGGAAAAAAAAAAAAACGAAAAACAATAAGATAGTTTGTGTATGCATATGCTATTCAAATGCCTCTAACTCTTTTTCAAAATTGTTATGGAATATATAAGTAATATGGAATCTATATATATTAGGCCGCCTGGAGTTTTAGGGTTTTGAGTAAGTAGTCATAAGGAAACTTGTTTCCATATTAGAAGTCTTCTAGCATATACTCCGTATTTAACTATTTATATATAAATAAAATAAAATAAAAAAATAAAAATAAAAATTATCGTAAAGGCTCTAATACCATGTTGAATTTGAAAGATCTAAAGGCCTGGAGGGTGGAGAATAACAACCACCCGCCAGTTAGACGGAAGCAGAGATGAAGAATCAAGGAATGAGAAAATATATATTGTACAAAAGTGAATAGAAGGTTTATAAATCAGAAAGGGAATACACAACCCTATAAATACATGCTAGAAGACTTCTAATAAGGAAACAAGTTTCCTTATGACTACCTACTCAAAACCCTAAAACTCCAGGCTGCCTAATATATATAGATTTCATATTACTTATATATTCCATAACAAAAATTAACAATAGTATTTCATTACTGCACCATGTTTGACTTGTGAAAGCATTAGTATACTACAGATAATTAGTAACTCCTGATTAAAGGTCTCATTCTAGCTTGTACAGTTTAATATACCATCAGTGGAAGAGGACAATTATTAAGCACCTGTATCCTCTACAGATTACTTATACTTGGGCTCTGCCTCATGAAGTCATGAGTGCCTTGGTTCATTGACCCCCTTACTGTGGATTCAGCCGATTTGTAATCACCTCCAAAATTTGCTGCACAACAATTTAAAAAATAATACCAATTAGCTTGGTAGCACTTAGCTCTTTGATGTGTGTCTGTGTGTGTTAGGGGAAAGGGGAGGGATTATTAGATCTAAGCAATGATGGTAGATGAAAATTTCATACTAAGATATATTTATCGGCAGCAGCAGGTAATTGATAAAGTGGTTGGATTAGTAGCACAATGTAACAAATCTCAAATAGGAAAAAATAAATAAATAAATAAATGCAACCTTCTAGCAGATCATGCAATCATAAAACAGAAGTTGCCAACTCTTGGACTAGCTTAGCAGGCTAATGTGTCTCTTGGACCAGCTACTTCAAGGTCCAATTAGGCTGTCTTTCAAAAAGCTTAAACACGTATCTTCCAGTTCACACATGGAACTATCTATTTCTTTTTACTTAAGGCATCATAACTAGAGCTGCTCTCTTCTTTTACTACATAGAGACAACAGATATAGAAGTATTTATTATTCCAATCACATTCCTTCAAATGTCCAACTAGGAGATCGCTGAGAAACCCACTATTGATTTAAGTTAATGCAAATAATGGGAGAAAATATTACTTCCCTACAACGTTTTCAAAAACTTTATGGTTAGATATGCTTATAGGTTCTGAAGTAAACACCCCTATACACATAACAAGACTGGTTAAGGTTACTTCACTACAATGTTTCAACTCTATGGTTAGATGCTCTTATAGATTATAATGCCAAAACACCCTACATGCAATAACAACACTGGTGGCTTTGAGATGCAATTCAACAAACTTCAATTTGAGCTTTCAAGCATGGTGAAGCAAATACTCTATCAAACTGATTCTAGAATTGGGGAAAACATTGTAGCAGACTTTACTAGTAAAACAAGGTATGATGAATGATCTGAAATGGAAATTTTCCAAATCTTCAAAGAACACAAAGAATGGAATACAAGTACATTAGAACTGGATTCAATCAAGACCAACATTCCAGGCATAAACCTCACTTTGTACTCCACAATCATTAACAACTACCTAGTAGGCAACGAATGAAACGCAAAAGATGGTAAAATGAGAGGAGCTGTTAATGTAACACAGAAATTACTCCATACCTAGTAAAAACTATTTACCAGTATTTGCCAGTTTTTTATCATTTGTTTATTTGTTCTTTCGTGACAAGTTTTGGTGCACTCTTCCATAAGCTTATAAGAAACAATACTCTCCTATAACTGTGTTGGCAAAAACCAGCATTTGAACAATGCCTTGTAACGTATTCAAGGAGTAATTTCTCGGAAATTAGGAACCTCATTCTCAGCCATCTCAATTGTAAAACCAATAGATAATAACTGCATCACCCTCTATCAGAAAGCTAACAAAGGATACAGCAATAAAGTTAAAAATGGTGCTTTAAACAACAATTAGAAGAAAAAATAATCTATTCACAAAATTCAACATTATTCGGTGCCATTTGGCCCTGGTTAAAATAAAATTCAAAGCACAAATTAATCTCAGAAATTTGCGTCAAAGTTTTACTTGAGTATAGTCTTCGGGATGGATACAACCAAGAGATATAACGACTAAACGACGGCCGATTGTCCGACGAGGAGGCGGGAGCCGCCGGAGACTGCCGTTACTAGGGAACGATTGTCATTAACGACGGCAATTCAGACCACCAGCCGGAAACATTCTAACGTGGTGCTAAGTTCTAAGAGCATCCTTAATAACTTATTTTTACACAAATTTTAAAAGTAAATAAGTCATCTTAGTTGAAAAGTTAATTAGTCTCCTAAACTATTTAAATGACCTGCTGTCAAGGTTATTAGAGTTTCGATCACCCTCTGACAAAAATTTTGATAAAAAAATTGACGACGACTAACGAACGATCGCCGGTCAAGGAGAAGACACCAAAGTCACCTTCTCCGACAAGAATCAACCCAAATCCGGATCGCCTCGACAAAAATGCGACCCAGTGGTCGCTTCTCGCTGGAGAAGGCTACCCAAACGTGTTGGGTCGCCTTCTCTTGTTGAAAAGGTGACCATCTCAACAACATATAGGTCACCTTTTCCAGCGAGAAGGCGACCTTAGTGTCAGTGTCTTCTCCATGACCGGCGATTGACGATCAGTCGCCAGTCACTTTTTTGTGGAAAAATTCACCAGAGGGTGGTCAGAACCTTAATGAACCTTAATGACATGTGATAGTAGGTCATTAATCTGTTTTTGAGTTTCATTGCATCAAAATAAATTATTGATGGGTGTAATTGTACATTTAAATAGTTTAGGGGGCTAATTGACTTTTCAGCTAAAGTTCAATGACCTATTTGATCTTTTCTCATTTTAAAATGTCAAGTAGGAGAGAACGAGGGAGAAAAAAAAAAACAAGAAAAATTAAAAAAAAAAAAAAAAAAAAAAAACTATATTAACCCACCACGCATGAGCACTTCTGGTAGGCTTCACGCGCACTGGAGTAGTTGTTGCTTTTTTAGTATGACTCACTTTTCTTCCAAAAATGGTTTTCATGCAACAACCCAATACCTTTTCTCTCATCTCCCCCTTTCCTCCACATAAGCATTACAATATGCAAAAATCATCCAAAATTCTCCTAGTGCCGGGGATGTTCTAAGTACTCATACTTTGTACAATTGGCTACATTTGTGTAATTATATTAAACATAATAAGACTATGCAATTTTATCTCACTTTCAAAATGTTATATCACAAAATTTGTAATTATTTACTCTATATCCATGTAATTTTCTCACCTCTTTCAAAAATAGTCTCACTTGCATATCACCTTATTAAAAGTTTTACTTTTTTATCAATAAAGTAATAATAATTATTATTATAATCTAATCTACTAAAAACATAATATGTGCCAATACAAGTTATGTCCTTGATTTTTGTCCCTTTTTTATATGCTAATAAATATATACATTTTGCTTTAATTGTTGTACATTTCATTTGTAATGGACAGAATCACACTTACACCGTTATAACATCGTTAGTATTTAATATATCCACCAATTTTACCATACATCTACATCTATCATATCTTTTTCCTATTTTTAATTATCATTTTATTAAAATTATCATATAACAATTCATTTAATTATAAATTATATTTTAATATATATATATATATATATATATATATATATATATATATATATATATATATTTGTTTTGATCCCTATATTTTTTAAATATACGATAATTCAAAAGTATCATCAGTTTAAGGAATTGTGAAACATAATTAATTTTAATTAATATTTAAAATTGTGTTACTTAACAATATTTTAATATTGGGTATAGGTTTTCGCGCAACGCACATACAAAATGTTAGTAAAATAATACGGAGTAATAAACAAATCAAAAAGGCAATTGCATGTGAGTTGCAAATTTCTCTCTCCTACCCTTTCTTTCTTCTAAGTCATCAAATATTGTACTATTCTCCTCATAATATGCTTTGAAGGTGATGCTCTAAATATTATGCAGTAATTGTTGGGAGAGGTATCCGATGAGTCCAAACTCCAAAGTCTTATATTAATGAATGAGTCAGCGAATTTGAAGGGGTTGGTGGATTGGTGTTTAAGGCAATCAAATTGCTTCATCAAATTAAATGTCTACTCCCTCATTGGTTTCCACAGAAATCACACTGAATCAATCTTCCCCAGACTCTGCATCATAGCTAAGCAATGGATCCTCCTCCTCCTCCTCCTACGGTTCAGTTCATCTCAGAATGCTACATCACCCCAAAACCCAGCTCAGAAGCATCCAAAAAACCTGTGTTTTTATCAGTATGGGACTTAGCTATGCTCTCAGTTCACTACATCCAGAAAGGCCTCCTTTTTGCCAAGCCACCATCTTTCGATCTCACCACTTTCTTGCACAGCCTCAAGCACTCCCTTTCCCTCACCCTGCTCCATTTTTACCCGCTGGCAGGCCGCCTTTCGACTGCCAAGGGAGAAGACGGCGCTGATGGGTATACAGTCTTCATCGACTGCGAAAACAGCCCCGGAGCCAGATTTGTGCAGGCTTCTCTACATCTCACCATTGCTGATATCCTTTCTCCCAGGGATGTGCCATTGATTGTCCAATCTTTCTTTGACCATCACAGGTATTGTATATGTCTCATATAGTCATATGTTGTTCTTTCTTTCACTCACGTATTTAAATCTTATATTTTGTCCTTTTTCCATTGTTATTTGATGATTTTGTTGGAACTGGGATCACCATAAACGGGGTATAGAGTTATAGAAAGCGTAAGAAAATAGTAGCTTTATTACTTAATACCCTAGGCCTGGAATAGTACGTACAAATCCCAGACATATATGAGCTCAAAATGACGGTCCAAATAATACAAGCTATAACCATAATAATGAAATAGGACCTAAAATGGCTGCTCAAAACCATAATAATGAAATAGGGCCCAAATTAAAATGACGGAATAACAATGTTATGGCTAGGAGTAGAACATACCATTAGATGGGAGAAAACTCATATCAATAGACCATAAGGGGTTTGGTGAGCTGAGGGATAATTTTTAAGGCAATGGAAAAGCGCCTACTTTTGTTAAAGGACTCAAGGATAGTTGACAAATGGACAGCATCTTGACAATCTTCATTTTTTATCATTACTCATACACGTGGTCTTTTCTTACTTTGTTTTCAGCACACTCTCATGCATAAGTGAGACTTCCTACCTTTAATACATAAGATCTTGAGTAGCTTAGGTGGTTAATATGATATTTATGTTGTTGAGTGAGAGATTGTGAGTTCTATGGTAGCACATCTTATATCCGCTTGCGTCAAGACTTTTCCATATTGCGTATTTAAATCTTATATTTTGTTTCCATTGTTATTGATGCTAGCTTCTTCTCCTAATCTCAAACCACAGAGCTATCAACCATGACGGTCACGGGAGATCCTTGTTGACCATCCAGGTTACAGAGCTGATTGACGGCATTTTCCTAGGATGTTCCATGAACCACACTGTGGGTGATGGGACATCTTTCTGGAATTTCTTGAACACATTCTCTGAAATATTCAGAGCCAATAATCATCAGAACCCCATCTCCCGGCAACCAATTCACGACCGCTGGTTCCCTGAAAATCACGGCCCGGTTCTGAATCTTCCGTTCACCCACCACGATCAGTTCATCAGCCGTCACGAGGCGCCGCCGCTGAGGGAAAGAGTCTTCCATTTCTCGCCGGAATCTCTAGCCAAGCTCAAAGCCAGAGCCAATCAAGAATGCAACGCCGCCACCTCCAAGATTTCGTCTCTCCAATCCCTCTCCGCTCATGTCTGGAGATGCATAACCAGAGCTCGAAATTTCCCGGCAACCACAATCACAAGCTGCCGGATGGCTATAAACAACCGGTCCAGGCTCGACCCGCCACTCTCGAACGACTACTTCGGGAACTACGGCCAGACCGTTAGGGGCACCGCCGCGGCCGGAGAGCTTCTCGAGCGCGGGCTAGGCTGGGCGGCGTGGAAACTGCACCGGGCAGTGGCGAGCCACGACGACGCGGTGATTCGCGAATGGGTTAACGCGTGGTTTGAATCGGCTTTCGTGTATCAGCTCGGGCAGTTCTTTGATCCTTGCAGCGTAATGATGGGCAGCTCGCCCCGGTTTGATATGTACGGCGTGGAGTTTGGCCTGGGAAAAGCGGTGGCGATTCGAAGCGGATATGCTAATAAGTTCGACGGGAAGGTTTCACTGTACCCTGGGGTTGAAGGTGGAGGGAGCATGGATCTTGAAATTTGTCTTTCGCCTCAGTCTATGGGAGCTCTAGAATCTGACATGGAGTTTATGGACACCGTCGCCTAATTATTAGCACAATAAAATCTCAGTTTTCAACTGTGATCATTGTAATGATCTTGATGGGAGTATGAGTTCTATTACGTCTACATTCTACTTCTAAATCTTATTTCATTACTTTTAGACTGTCTTTGGTTCCATGATCTGACAAACAATATATGATATCTTCGTTGATGTGATTCTTAGAAAAATGTCTACATCAATATATGAACTGTCACTTATAAATATAGGATAAAAATAGAATTAATTCTTTTAAGAATTTTAGAAAAAATCATGCTAATTGCTAAGTTATATAAGAGAGCATCTTCAATAGTTTAGATTTTAGTCATTTTACACAAAATTTTAAATGCCAAGTAAGAAATAAAGAGGGAGGAAAAAAGTAAAAATAAAAACAAAAACAAGAAAATGAGTTTTCAAAAAACAAAATGTGAGTAAATTACCAAAATAGTCCCTCGACTATTTCGATATCACCTTTTTGGTCCTAGTCATTTTTACTTGGCTAATTACATTCTTTTACTATTAATTTTTTAACCATTTTAGTTCTCAGGCAACTTAGACAACAATTTTTTAGAGATATTATTGGAAGTTCACTGTTAAGACTTCTCTTGCTCTTCTTCTAGATCGCTCCTCTTCTCCCCGGACATTGCCTTGTTCATCTCTGCTCTCCCTCTCAAAATCTTCACTAATTCCTCCATTGTTGCCTTCTTGTTTCTCCTGTTCTTCATCAACACCTCGTTGATGTCCGCCGGCGTCATCTCCGCCGCCTCAATCACATCCTCTAGTTCGCTTGAGAGGTTGTTTTCTACATTGGCGTCGTCGTAGCCTAGGTAGTTCTTGAGGATGATTTTGAGGGCCGGAAAAGT